TCGAACGCCTTCTTCTCCTCCTCGAACTTGGCCTTGTGGTCATCGAGGGCGGCCTTGTCGGCGGCAAACTTGGCCCGCTCCTGCTCCAGCTCGGCCTTCAACTCGTCGACGGTCTTGGCCGGGGCGGCAGCGGGGGCGGGGGTGGCAGCAGGGGTGGGGAAGGGGTGGCAGCAGGAGTAATCTTCACCTCGGGCGAAGCAGCAGCGGGCGTCTCATCCTTCTCGGCCGCACGAGGGGAGATGGGAGAGTCGGTCTCCGACTTCCTGGCCTCGAGAGCGGCACGTCGCCTCTGATCGCGCGAGGCATCGGCCGCAGGGCCGGTGGGCGGAGATCCCCAGCGCTCGCCAACCGATTTGAGGGCGCCCACGGAGGCCAGCTGGGCCAGAGACTCTCGGGGAGGCTTGGCGGCACCGGCGGCAGGGGAGGAGAGAGAAAGAGAAGAAGTAGCAGATGATGCGGCGGCCGAGGTGGCAGGAGCAGGCGAAGAGGGGGCCGAGGAGACTGGCTTGGGCTCCAGGGTGAGGGTGGAGGACTTGGGTGCGTCGATGTCGGCGTCGGTCCTCGGGCGAGGCATGCGGAAGGACTTGGTCTGACGCGAGTCCCACTCGCTGCCGGATGCCTTCATGAAGTTGGCGCCCGGGGCGCCGTACACGACAGCCTGGGGAGCCCACTTGGACTTGGCATCCTCTGAACCGAAGCCCGAATGGTAATTGCCTGCACATTCATGAAGAGTAGAGATGAATAATGAATAAAATCTGCCGATTGAGTCATACAACAAGTAAAGGAAAAGAAATTGCGAGATGTAGTAGGATTGCGAAAGGCCAAGGCGGTAACGCGACAAAGGCAAGAAGCGTACCCTTCTCCTTGAAGAGCTGCTTGAAATGGGGCTTGCAAAAGTAGCGGCCTCCCATTGCGGCGAAGTTACCCAGCTTGAGGACGCACTGACAGTGCTCGCACTTGAAGCACGCCTTGTGCATGCTCTTTCCGTCGGCGTCCATCTTCTCCATGGCGTACACCGTCTTGCCACAGAAATGGCATTGCGAGTTCTTGCTGGCGACGAAGCTCATCTTGGTTGTTTATCGATGTATGAAGGGAAGAGAATTCGAGCGCTGTGAAGATGAAGAGGAGATGTGGAGTGATGTAGAGTACAAAAGTATGGTACAAGTTGGCCAGTGTTCTGTGTCGCACAGAAGTGAAAAATTAAAACAGTGGTCGTCGCTCGCTACCACCAGGAGTTTGAGTCCCTGGTCTTGTGCTGCACCCCAACCACACGCCACGTCCGGTTATTTCCCGGCATATATGTTCGGTTTCTCTGACAAAAGCTGGGCACGAACCAATGTCCTTAACAACCAAACGGGCGCCTGGGATACCGTCTACCAGCACGCAAAAATTAAACCCGTGTTCTCTTCACTGCCATTGGTTCCCGCCATTCCTGCCTCCATTATCATTGGTTCCCTCGCACCAATGACAGAACGGCTCTGAGGGAGCGTGACAATTTAAATCCACAAATCAGCATTTTATTACACGTAGGGGGTGTAGCTCAGATGGTAGAGCGCTCGCTTAGCATGCGAGAGGTAAAGGGATCGATACCCTTCTCCTCCAATACATTTTCTTTTTTGTTTTCTCTTCTTTTACTCTTCCCGCGCTTTTGATCTGCTACATCCTCATCTGCTGCTCGCAACACTAGTGTGCAAGATGAGACGAACCAAGCGGCGCTCTTTGGACTCTTCGTTCAAGCCCTCATCAAGCGAGGATTCTGACTCGGGCACCCCGGTGAGGAAGAGAGCACGCAGAACCACCGCACGGCGCGCCAAGCCGAAGCCGGCTGTGGCAACCACAACAACCACAACGCATGCATCTCCTTCCCCGCCCAGGGAGAGCCTAGCGCCGCCAGGCACATCCACGCCGCCCAAGTCTGCGGCAGCTGCTGCGAACATCATCACGCCTGTCTTCGTGGGCATGCTGGGCAGCCTTCTCGCCGACGAAGACTGTACGCTGCACCCTACCCCCCCCCACCCACGCATCGCAAATCTTCTTTCCAAGCCCTACCCCGTCCGATCTAATCGAGGGCCGCCTGTCTGCAGACGACCTCTGGCACCGCATGCTGGCCGACCTGCTGGCCCGCCAGCGCACACCCAGCTCGTACGCACCGTGCGTGGCACCTGCGCACCGCCGCCGCATCTCAGTCGCGTGTCGTGTCGTTGGTCGTGTCGTGTGCCGCAGAGCGCTCTACGAGGCGGTGTGGAGCGCGATGGAGCAGGGGAGCGCGGGCCGGCTGGCGCCGGTGATGCGCGCCGAGCTGGCCCACGCACACAAGCTGTCCGGGCCGCGCAGGCGCGAGTGGCCGCCGGCGCACGACCCGGTGGAGAAGAGGGACATCAAGCGGTACCGCGAGCTCTTCAACGTCGCGCTCGACACCCTTCGCTTCCAGCCCGCGCCCGTGGCCGAGGTACCTTCAAGGCCGGCCCTGATCACTTGATTGTTTTACCAACCGCACGACCAACGACACGACACGACACGACACGACACGACACGCACGATGGCCAGGGCTGGGAAACGCTGGCGTCGAACCAGTTGCACTTCATCGGGCTCGTACAGCGCATGCTACGGGACGACCTCCGCTACTACAAGGCTATCAACCTAACCCACGGTACGGAGTGAGCACGCGTGTGTGCGATGCCGTGTGTGTGTGTGTGTGTGTGTGTCCAATGGACCGTATGTCGTGTGCGTCGCGGCAGAGAGCTGCTTCCACCGCCTGCTGGAGGGGAAGCCGGGCACGGAGTCGCCGCTGCGGCACGAGCTTCTGGAGGTGGCCTTCGACCTGCTCGACCAGGTGAACTCCTCGGTACCCGTCGAGGTCGCCGACCGCACCAAACGCATTGCCTACTCCATCTTCCACCTCGTACCGCCCATCATCGCCTCTCGCTCTCTTGTGTGTGTGTGTGTGTGTTGTGTCGTGTGCGTGTTGTGTTATGAGTCACACGGGTCTCATTGCTGCTCTTTTCCAACAGTTGGGCAAGGCGTACTTTGGGTCGGAGGAGCACTGGGACAGGCGCTGGGACCTGGTCAGCGACCTCACCGCCCGCGTGCAGGACCTCCCACACGCCACCCAACTCGACTTCCTCGACGTATGTCGCACCATCACCACTCCTTCGTTCGTTCTTCGTGCTTCGTTCTTTTCTCTTCGTTCTTTGCCCCCCCCCCTCTCTTTTCTGATCGGTGGGGTGTCCGCCGCGATCAGAGGCTGCGCGGGCGAAGGCTGCGGAAGGAGCTGTCGGCGCGCATCCTGGAGGACACCTTCAGCGTGGCCAAGGTGAGCAAGCAGCACCTCAAGCTGCGTCTGGAGCCCCTCACCGCCGCCAAGATCGTGCACTACCACCTCCACTTCATCCCGCAGCCCAAGGCCAACCGCGGCAAGTCGGCCTCGGCCTCATCGAGCGACGACATGGTGCGCGAGGAGCTGTTCGCGGCGCTGCTCGCGCACCTCGTGTTGGACCACTTTGGCGACCTTCTCCTCGTTGACGACGACGACGACGATGATGATGATGAAGATGACAATGCGGACAAGAAGCAGGCGGCGACGGCCCGGCGAGAGGCGCTGCTGGCCGACGCGCGCGAGGTCGGGCTGGTCGACGAGCTCGACGAGTTCATGGAGCAGACGCGCAAGCGCAACATCTACCTCCTCCAGCTGTCGCCCGCCCTGCGCTTCCGCCTCGACGCCCTCCAGCACTTCTGCGGCCGCCTCAAGTCTCACCTGGGCACCACACCATAGCAAATGAATAAATAATAGCACGTTTATTGTCGTGTGTTGCGTGTCGTGTTGTGTGTCGTGTGCGATGGCCTTGTGTGCGTGTCTCTTTCTCTCGCTCACTTATTTACAAGGTGGTAGATGCCGTCCCAGGTGGAGGGCGGGTCGGCGAGGAGCTCGGTGCAGCGCTCGACGTAGATGAGGCAGGGCTTGTCGTCGGGCCGCAGGGCCAGGCACTCCTCGAACTTGTCGCGCGCCTCGGCGAACTTGCCGTCGGTGAAGAGCAGGAGGGCCTCGTGGTAGGGCCGCAGGATGCGCTCCTTCTGCTCCCGCACCTCGTCCTTGTCCCCGTCCACCACCTCGTAGATCCGGCACGACTGCGACTTGCCCTTCACCTGTTTTTTTGTTTTTTTTTGTTTTTGTTTAGTATAATCGTAAATATGTATTATTTCAACATGTACATAATATAGCAGAGTATATAGTATATTATTATAATATAAAAGAATAAAATATATTATTTATGGACGTACGGTGACGTGGTCGATGAGGCGGATGGTGAACTGCTCGGCGCCGAGTGCCATCTTCTCCTTGGTGTGTTCGGTGATGAGGATGCGCGCGCCGTACTTCTTGCAGAGGGCCTCCGTGCGCGACGCCAGATTGACTGCGTCGCCCAGCACCGTGGGCTCCATCCTCGTCTCCGTACCCACCACGCCCATGATCACCTGCACGGTAGCCCCCCCCCCGATCAGCGTGTGTCGTGCGTGTCGTGTCGGTGCGTGTCGTGTCGTGCGGTGTGCGTGTGTCGTGCGGTGCGTGCGGAGGAGAACGCACCTTGCCGGTGTTGATGCCGATGCCGGTCTCGGCGTTGACGAGGCCCGCGGACGTGTTGCAGTAGTCCAGGTCGTGGAGCATTCGCACCGCCGCCCGCACCGACGCGTTGGCCTGCTCCTCCGGCGAGCCCTTCACACCACACCGCACACAACACGGCCACGTCAGCACCACACGACACACACGCACACGCACACGCACACGCAGGTGAAGAATGCGAGGAA